ACTCACTCTTACAACACTTTCAGCAACCCTGCAATTCACTTCCCAAGCACTCTGGTTTGACCTAAAGTCCATGAATAAATGCAATTATGGTGACTGTTTAACTTGCTTTTCATTCCTTCCCATCCTTCCTGGTGCAGCAGCCTTTGTGCTCAAAACCCAATCTGGCTATTAAGGAAATCAGCATCACCCTTTGTGGTGGCTGATGATGTCAGCCTAAAAAAGCAAAGGGCTGCAGGAGGGAAGCAAGTGACAGTGCAAATCTCAGAAAAGTTCAGCAGTCTTTTACCTGTCAGCCTCCTTTACAGAAAATCAAAAATGACAATCAATTCCTGAGAAAGGGTATAATTTACCAAACCAGATAAAAAGACAATGCCAAACTGCAAACTGCAGTGAAATCTCAGGAGGGTTTTTTCCTCTCTCTCCCTGTCTGCTCATTTCTGCTCTATTCTCTCTCTGTGTGTATGTCTTCTCTCTCTCTCTCTCTCTCTCTCTCTCTCTCTCGCTCTCTCTCTCTCTCTCTCTCTCCTCTTCCTCCTCCTCCTCCTCCACCTCCTCCTCTCTCTCCTCTGCCAACAAAGGTTTTCTCATATCCAGCTGCTGCCATGATTTGCAAGTGAATTAGCTGAAAAACAGTTTTTGACTGAAATAAGAGGTTTTTTTTTAAAAAAGGTTTTGGTTTATTTTTCTTTTCTCTCCATTCTCTTTTCTCTTCTTTCACTGCTCCCAATGTATAAAACTCAACTTGGCTGTCAGCCACTCTGTAACACCTTTGAAAACCTCCATGCACCCCCAACCTGTGAAAGTTTCTGTAGTAGTCGCATCATATTGAATGTTTTGTTAACATGTTTATCTATGCTAACAATGTTTGTCTATCCTAAGAACTTTAAGCCAATGAAGATCGGGCACAATCATTTATATCTTCAACTCCTAGTACAAAGCTTGGCATAAAGTAAACTGGCAATAAGTGAATATAATGAATGGACATTATATTCTTTTTTTTTAATTTTTGGTTTATCTCTCAGGTATGTGATGATTTTTATATTTTCACCATGGCCTTAAGTAGAGAAAAAGGTTATACTCCTCAAAATTCCCACTCCAGGGAACCAGCAGTTAGCGTAATGGCTGTGTCGCTGGACTCCCACGTAGTCGACCGTGGTTCACATCCCGGACCTGGTGGCTTAAAACTCACGCTGGGTGCGTGTGCGTGCGTGCCCAAGATCCCGAGAGGAGAATGGAGGAGAAGGGATTGCGGCGTGACCATCCCCCCTGGGGGTTGATTTCTTGCTTTCTGTCTCTATGTCTCTGTCTGTCTGGCGAGCGCACGCGCCCTACAGTGAAAATCTCTCAAAAAAAAAAAAAAATCCCACTCCACATTCAAAGATAAAAAGATATTAAGTAATGATCTGGGACTAATGGTAAGAGATAGGCTTTTCCATCACTAAAACCTGGGTTCTCAACCTGGATTCACCAGTGATGAATTGGCTCCCTCTGGGCAAGATACCTAATCTCTCAGAGTCTGAGTCTCCTCATATGGAGATGGGAAAGATGATATCCAGTCACGTGGTTATTGTGAGAATTAAATGCTGTCAATAAGGCATTTGGGACACCAAGCCTAGCACAAGTAAGCTCTATGTAAATATTAACTATTATCGAAATGCCCACAGCAGTGTCTGGACATAGGAGCTACATAAATAGCAGCAAAGGCCAAAAATATCATCTCTCTCTCTCTGACTGGCTGCAGTTCCAATTCCAGATCCAAAGCTTGGAAATAACACTGTGCACATGTGTATGGGTTCCCAAGATCCCAGGAGGAGAATGGAGAAGAAGGGATTGCAGCACGGTCATTCCCCATCCCCCCACCCAGAGGGTGATTTCGCACTTTCCCTCTTACTGTCTCTGTCTCTCTTTCTTTCTCTTGCAAACACATGCACCCTAAGGTAAAAATCTCTAAAACAAACAAACAAACAAAATTAAATTAAATACATGTGTATGTGTACCAGAGTGGGGCAAATATATTTCTTCCATAAATCAAATATAGATGCTGATGGATGCTGTGATAAGTACCATATGATCCAGGAGTCCTATTTCATCACTGGCTGCCCAGTAAGGTTAAAGTTAATTTGATGCATAGAAATGAATTTTTTATAAGTTGTTTTATGGTATTTTAGGCAAAGATTTACTGTAAACTTTAACTCTACTTGTGCCTGTAAAGATTTATATTTTGCTTCGAAAGTCAAATCATTTAGAATCAACTCCATTGCATATATTAGGAAATAAATACCCCATAAATACACTGTCACATATATCCAGTCCCCGGAAGCTGGAAATAGTCATGAATTTTTGTTGTGCTTTTCATTTTTCAGAAATGGCACATATAACAAATAAATACTTGAAAGGCAAATCAATACAATATAACCTTGTTATAAGGGACTCTTTCTTGCCCATTTTAAATAGGCTGCCATAAGTACAGAATTGCCACATACCAATGTAAACTGCAATGTGATCTATATTATGGATTTAAATTCTGAACACAAAGACCAACAAGAAGCCTGATCATACATCATATTCATTTTTTAAATAACCCCCATTTTATATGAAATATACTACAGTTCCAATTATCTCCATAAAAGGTATAAGGGGTTTATATGCACATGCTCTATATACTGATTACAGAAAATAATTAAAATTTACTCAATACAAAGGCAAAAAAAGTTTCTTACTATTATTGGTGACATCATTTAATAATAATGATAGTAATCATGATAGATAATCTTTAGTGAATATCTTCCAGATGTCAGTGTCTGGCTGTAGGCACATTTAATTCTTATAACACCCTAAGGAGGGAGATCTAGTCATCCCTATAGTATAGGTAAAGAAACTGAAAATATTGTGAATGTTTGGTTTACCCTGTTTCTGCTTGGTCAGCAGGCAAGTTTTATATCAAACGTACACATTTAGATTCTAGCTCCCGATCCCTTCACACTGATTAAACCTATCTATGCACTATGTCTTCAAGAACACTGAAGCAAACTAAGGTTCAAATTAGCCAAAGCCACATAGGAACTCAAAACTATCTCATGGAAGGGGTGATGAAGTAAGCAGAACCCATTTTTACCATCACCATCTCTATTCTCTGTAATGATTTAGATTTAAAAAAATGTCAGGACCAGGAGATGGCATAATGGCTATGTCACTGGACTCCCATGTAGTTGATTGTGGTTCAAGTCTTCGACCTGGTGGCTTAAAATTCACGCGGGCATGTGTGTCACATGCCCAAAATCCCAAGAGAAGAATGGAGGAGAAGGGATGGCAGTGTTACCATCCTCCCTGGAGAATGATTTCTTGCTTTCTGTATCTCTATAGCAAAAATCCCTCTCTAAAAAGAAAGAAAAAACAAAATGTCTATGTTCAAATATGTAACAAATTAACAATGAAAAAGACATTACACCTATCCTACCAAAGGTCAAATGACAGAGCAATTATATGGGTACATATTACAGAAATACAATTTAACATTAAAGGGAAATTTTAGCTCTGTCCTTCTAACAATAAGCAGTTCATTCTCCATTGCTTTTATTTTAAATGAGAGACAGAAAAATAGCCAATCACCTGCTCCAGTAACAGAAGATTTAAATATATATTATAGCTTGTAGATTTTACTGGACAATTCAGTTGTGAGGCTCTTTGATCCTTTCTTTTATACTTTGGCATGAGAAGGGTGAGTTGTAATGTTATACTACATGTTAGGCTAACTAACATGTCTCTGTTACTTATTTAAGTCCCTTCAGAAAGAGCCATATGCAAAAAATCTGAGGCACTTTTCCTGGGAAACCCTAAACCATGTGTAATTCACGGAATCACAACATTGTGCCTGTCTGACTTGTAAACACTTACAATTTACTCCTGCAGATGATTTGCTCTCCATTTTTAGATTTCTTTCACATATATGATAATATAAGGTTAAGATTCTTTCATCTGTTTATCTGCTTTTCATTTGGCCTCCAGTCCCTTTTCACATCTTTTCCTAACCTCAAAGCCTATTCTGTCTTACTCTAGTTCCATCTGGTCCTTTACTCATCTGGAATGCATGACCAAACATTTCAAAAGGTCCTCATTCTCTGGCTCAACTTCCACTCCTCCATTATTCCTTGATGTTCATACCACAGACTTTATAGAGAATAATCAGTAATGATTACGGGCTAAGTGCTGCTCTAAGTGTTAAAATTATTTAGTTCTTACTCCAGTTCTGTGAGCATTGTCATCATTCCCATTTGAGGAAGAAAAAGAAAGGAAGCTGAGGCTTAGCGTGGTGAAATGACATACACAAGTTCTCAAATCAGTTCCAGAGCTAGGTCTGCTCCCAGGGTCAGTGCTCCTAACCACTATGTTACACTGTGGTGCACTGAGGGCCAACAGCTTCCCCTCTCCACTAAAATCTGTCTGAGTTGCTCCTTTTCTGTCTCTCTGATCTCTATTTTTTTCTTGCAAGGCTATCTCCTTCCACTGTGTTCTTAATGACATGCCTCATAGCTCTGTTTTCTTAAATTATCCATCTTTAAATTCATCATTGGTTTCTCTATCCCTTTGTTTTTCCTATTTCCTGCCAAGATTCCAGAAATTTTATTCTGTATTTACTACCTGTTTCTTCACTATTATCTTCCTGCCTTAACCCATTACAATCTAGAATTTACTTTCCACCCCCACCTCACAGCACAGCTAACTCTACTCTTTTTTTTTTTTTTTCCGCTATAGGGCACATGCGCTTTCCACACAGACAGAGACAGAGAGACAGAAAGCGAGAAATCACCCCCCAGGGGGGATGGCCACGCTGCAATCCCTTCTCTTCCATTCTCCTCTCGGGATCTTGGGCATGCACGCACATGTGCCTGGCGAGTAACTCTACTCTTAATTCATCTGCCTTCCCTAATGGTCCTCTTTGCCACAATCTGTATGTCATCAGTCCTTGTCTTAGCCCATTAGTGTTTCCGTAACAGAAATACCTGAGACTGGATGACTTATACGAAGGTCAATTTTGTTCATAATTTCTGTGGCTGGAAAGTCCAAGAGCATGGGGTCAGCATCTGGTGTTGTCACAACATGGCTGAAAGAAGTGGAAAGGAGAGTAAGCATGTGCAAAGAGAAAAACCTACAGCAACCAACTCCTTTCTGTAGCAACTCCCTTCTCGTGAGTACTAGTTAATGAGAACTCACTCCATGCAGGAAAATGGCATCAATTATTTATGAAGGACCTGCCTCCATGTTCCAAGAACCTCCCATGAGGATCCCACCTCCAACACTGGCCAACTGGGTATCAAGTTGTGGCATAAATCCAGTGAAATCACCACACTCAGACCATAGCAATCCTAGTCACTGCAATGCCTTTAGCAACTCCCTTACTCCTTCCATTCCATTCCATTCCTTGTCCCTGGTTCTGCTCCTACTTTTTTATCCTGTCCTTTCTCCTTCTTAGACTCTCTGTCCCTTCATCATCATCTAAAAATAATCATTCCCCAAGGCTCTGTCCTTGACTTTCTTCCTCCTCTGTTTGAACCCTCCCTTGGCAGTCTCACCCACTGAAATCATTTCAACTCTCTCCTCTATGCTATAAAGTGTTATTTGTGAAGGTAAGAACCAGCTGGGACCATTTTTTTTGTTGTGACTTCTTGTTCTCAAATGTGAGATCTTTGAGTGTGTTGGTCAAAGTGAAACAGGGAAGAACAGATTTCCTAACTAACGGTAGAACTTTATGGAACTAAAAAAGGAAATAATATCATTGAGATGTGGAGAGAGGAGGTGGAAAAACAGTTCCTGAGAAGAAGACTAAGATGAAGGAGAAATAGATACATATGGAATATAAAACAACATGTCTTTTAAAAGCAATTTATTTAATGATTTATAACATAAACCTAAATATAATCAGATATAGATTATATTTAGGTTTCCTTTAAATATTTATGTGTTTCCCACCCCACTTGCCTACAGAGGTGAATTTGTGGCTATTTCTCCATATTAGAGCTGGAGAGATCAAGAGAGTAGCAAGATTTGAGTCAAGCTTTGTAATCCCAAATTGCATAATCTGCTCACCAAAGGATGATAGTGACTATATCTGGGGAAAGCCTGGTAGATATCTTCTAAAAACATATTAAACTATACAATTTTTTTTGAGAATTTTTTGCTGTAGGGTGCGTGTGCTCACCAGAGAGACAGAGAGAGACAGAGAGACAGAAAGTGAGAAATCACCCCCCAGGGGGAATGGCCACACCGCAATCCCTTCTCCTCTGTTCTCCTCTCGGGATCTTGGGCACGCACACACACACGCCTGGTGTGAGTTTAAGCTACCAGGTCCGAGACTCGAACCACAGTCGACCACCTGGGAGCCCAGCCACATAGCCATTATGCTAACTGCTGGTCCTACAATTTTTTTTTTAAGTTGGAGATAATTAGAGAAAAGGTAGAGAAAAAAATTCATCTAAGAAAATGTTCATATATATTTTAAGAATGACGATAATAAAATAACAAAAGTGCATATTTTCACAGTGCTTAGAAGTTATATGTAAATATAATTGATTTCCATATTTTTTACATTTATATATTATGTAGATTTATTAATTCCAAAAGATGCTATATTGCTATGAAATTTTATTAACTGTATTTTATAGATAAGAAAAATGAGACTTAGAGAGGTCATATAACTAGTAGAGCTGAGATTTAGAACTGGATTTCTGTTTTCAAATCTCTTTACATTATGACATAACTACTTAAATTCAAATTCAAAAGTCAGAGTGAACACATTCCTTGTATTTTAAAGCAAGGTCAAGAATAAATGGAAATATTAAATAATGAAAAATGTGGACTAGACAAATAACATATTCTGACATAGGCCTTAGATCGTCTGAATTTCAGAGACACTTCTCATTCTTCTGCTATTCTTATATCTTCGAGAAAGACATGATGAAGGTGAGCACATGCTTTCTAATATGGGGAAGAGAAATTAGAGAAATTTAGGAACAGGTTTGGGAAAACAAGGCAAGGCATGATTCATCAATAGTCATAATTCTTTAGGCAAAAGCAATAAGGTAACAAGATTTTAATTACCAAATCCTATTCAGTTCTATTGTTAATCCAACAAATATTTACTACACATTCATCTAAGCAAAAATAATATAATATTTGCTATTAGTAAATAATATAATATTCTACCATTAGTCATCAAGAGACATGAATGATAACGTGAGAAAAATCTAACATAACCTAATGGAGTTCTAAAACAATTGGGTGAGATAGAATAGAAGGCAATATTTGAATAGATAATTGCTGAGACCTTTTCAAAACTAAGCAAATTCAGGAACCCTAAAGACCCTAAGCAAGAAGAATGTTGAAGCTATAAAATATCAAGGAAATGATTTAAAAATCAGCCAGAGAAAGAGAGATTTCATTCAAAGGAGCATCAATTAAACTGACAACCGATTTCTCCTCAGCAGCAATGAAAACAAGACATAAAAGCTATTTTTATTATAAAAATTGAAATATCTCTTATCCTAGATTATTATAGCAAAGTTACTTTTATGAATGAAAAAATACAGACATTCCAGTTTAAGTCTTTCCACCAACAAATATCACTAAATAATAAATAACATTAATTCATTAGAAAATATGCTTTTGAAACACATGTCTAAATTTCAAGGAGGAATAGTGGAAAAAAGGCAAATATCTTTATAATTCTAAATGAACAAATGAAATTTGTAATATTTCAAAATGACACTAAGATACATGACAACCATTAACGCATAAGAAATATTTGACAAAATTCAACATCCTGCCTTGAATAAAAACTCTCAGCAAATTAGGTATAGAGAAATGTGCCTCAACACAATCAAACTCACATATGACAAATCCACAGCTAACATTCACTCAATGGTGAAAAGTTGAAAGCTTTCCTCTAATATCAGGAACAAGACATACACAGTATTGGAAATCCTAGCCAAGGCAATTAGACACCTGTGTGCATGCATGAGAGAAAAAGAAAGAGAGAAGGCATCCAAAAGAAAAAGAGGTTAAAGCACGCCTATTTGAAGACAATATGATTTTAAAGGAGAGGGACAGAAAGATCTGAAGCTTCGCTTTCTCATGATTGGCACCCGAACTTAGGATTGGAACAGTTGAGATTGAAAACAACCAACCTTCTCAAGCGTCTCTCTCCATTTCTGTATATTCTTTTCATATATCTCATCACAGTTATTTTGGGGTAGCTAGATACTTTACATGTCAGCTCAGGACTCTCAAGATGCATGTAAGGGGAGAGCAAGCCAGGTGGAAACTCTAACAGCTTTTATGAATCGGTCTTAGAAGATTTATATCACTTCTGCCATAATCACAGAGCCACCCAGATTCAAAGGCTAGGAACAGAGACCACACACTTGATGGTGTGACTGTCAGATTGTAAAAAGAGCCTCTGGGATAAAATAAATTAGAGGAGCCACTTTCGAAAAATATAAAATCCTATAATAGTATGGGAGAGTAAAAAATACATAAAAGCCAAAATATTCCTGAAGAAAAAAACGCCAACACTTATTATAATACAATAATGCAGTGTGGTATAGGTATAAACATAGGTAAACTGACTAATGTAATACATACATAGTCACATGTGTGTGTTAAAACACAAAACATATGTGTAATGCATATGTGTATATGCAGACTGGTATGCATATAAATGTATATATGTACTTATGATGGTTTAACTTACAATGTTCCACCTTTATTTTATTTTTATTTAGTTTGCTATAGAGAGTGTGCACTCACTGGAGACAGGTAGAAAATGAGAAAGCACTTCCCCCAGGAGAAATGACCACATGGCAATCTCTTCTTTTCCATTCTCTTCTCAGATTGGGCACCCATGAACATGTGCCAAACATGCTTTTCAAGCCATCAGGGCCGGACTCGAACTGTACAGTCAACTATTTGGGATCCAGCCATGTTAACCATCATGCCACTGATTGGCTCACAATTTTCCATTTTTACAATAGGTTTACTGAAATATTAAATGCATTTTCAACTTAATATTGTATTCTATGGTTTTATCAGGATGTAACCCTAACAAAAATTGAGGATTATACATATACAAATCTGTGCATATGTATATTAAATGCATAGAAAATGTACATGGATTAATTACATAAGGAAAAAAATTAAGTTGGAGCCTAATAATAGATGAATAAATTCTGGATAGACTAAATCTATAGGAAAGATATTATGATTCACTCCTACTCATAAACACATTTTCTGCTCCTCCCAAATGTAAAAAAAAAAAAAAAAAAGACCCTGATAGGAGTAAAATCAATTTACTTTTCTATCATTGTTAATTTTCTTACTCTTTTTATCTGACAGTCAATTATCCTAAGGCAAACCACTCTAAGTCCTCACCTGAGCAGTATTTAATGCAAACCATCCAACTGTCATATATGTTAATTATTCTAAAACACCATATCAGAAAGAAAAATTGGACTATGGTCCTGCTTTCCTTATTTTCTTTTATTTTTCAAAGAAAAAAAATAGAGAATCAAGATTAACTATAATATAAAAATACTGCCAGCCTCACAATGCACCACTACTTAATTTAATTGGAAGTTTGTTTCGGCTCTTTCCCTTTCCTCAATTAGTAATAATAGGTAAGGATGAGGTAAATGTTTTGTTTACATTGTGTTTGTTCACAAAGATTCTAAATTTGTAAGAGCCTATTTGCATATGGCAAGCATTCTTGTCAGACAGCTCTGAATATCTAAGCTTTCTAAAGGCTACATTAACTATTTGAGGTTTTTTAAGAAAAGTTGCAGATACATCCTACCAAACATCATTAACTCTGGGCTCTGCTAGTATTTTTAGTTATTCATTTGCTCAGTTCACCATATGGATATATAGAGATGATATAGATGTAGATATATAGTTACCTAATATGTACGAGGCCCTCTTATTGATTCTGTTTTTATTAGTAGACAAAGGACACAATATATTTTCTGTTAGATTTTAATTCAAGTGAATGAAAACAA